TAGAATACGACCCGTAGTCGTCAATTTAGTAATATGACTTTCCAATCAAAATATTTTTTAATACAGTTTTTAAACTTAGGAAATGATAATCTTAATAATTAATTATATGCTCCGGAATCTTAGGGTCGTATTCCGGAACTGTACTCAATGCTCAAGTCAGGATTTGAGCAGACTAGGGTATGATTTCAAGCACTGGAAACACGACCCTAATGGCAAGGATTTGAATATGATTTCTAGTGCTTTGAATCATACTCAAGTCCTGACTAGAGCATTGAGTAGAGTTCTAGAATACGACCCTTAAAATCCTAAGTCAGTTAAGCGACTCAAAAACGCGACTCACAATTCAAAAGATTACGTCTCTTTTCTACTAACTACATACTCCTCTGGCCTCACCTTAAAAGAGACCTGTGCCCAACAGTGAGAAGTAAATAGGTTCATGATGAAACAGTTTATAATAAAAAAAGTCAAACAAATTTTATTTGGCCTGTAACTGCGACCCAATTTCGAGGCTTCAACCTTGACCTTCGAAGCCTTTCTTTATCCCTAAATCTTTCGAAGGACGAGTCCTTGTACCAAATACAGAGTGTGTACCGGAATAAGTGAAATAAAACTAGAGATTTTATTTAAATGTTGAATAGAAAAGTGAGTACGATAAGGGCAAAGATGTGTTATAGGATGTGGAAAGCTGTTGTCTCTGCCTACCCCGACGAGAAAAGGACGTAAAGTCCAAAAGTAAAATATGTAAATAGAACACATTTTTGTATAAATACGTGTTATAATTATTAATATAAAGATCGAACATTCAGAAAAAATCCCTCGATCCGGCCGGATTCGAGCCGACGTCTTCTAGCATACCGTGCCAAACGCTATACCAACTAAGCCACGGAACGATACAGCGGACCTCACGAGTTTTTCTATATGCTTGTTGTCGTATCTTTGCATTTAGTGTTTCAACGACTTTTTAGCCGTAGCGCCATCTATGTGAAATCTATGAAAGTATTTCGTCACCCAGTTAGATACCTTTACAGCTACCATCCCAGGCAGAGATGTCGCTATTAGCTGAATTTAAATTATTACGTGTTATTAAATTTAAATACGTGTTTTCAATTGTTTTTTGCAGTGGTGGGCGTTGAAAATTTAGTATCTTGCCTAAGTAGGCGGTGTGGCAAAAAGTTTGTCTGCGTCATTATTATTATTATTATCTCTCAGGGTCGTATTCCAGAACTGTACTCAATGCTCAAGTCAGGATTTGAGCAGACTTGAGTATGATTTCAAGCACTGGAAATACGACCCAAATGGCAAGGAGTTGAGTATGATTTTCAGTGCTCACTGCAATACTCAAGTCCTGACTTGATTATTGAGTAGAGTTCTAGAATACGACCCTTAGAGATAATAATAATAATAATGACGCAGACACTAAACATAGCCTCGCACTAGGGAAACCCTGTGTCGCGGGTGCACACACAAACACGATCACAAATTACACCGAAACTCACGAGAGAAATAAATGTAGGCCATACAAATATTTCTCCCAGATTGGGAATCAAACCTGGGACCTCTGCGTGGCAGTCCGGCATGCTAACCGTTCGGCCACGGAGGCAGTTAAATAAGTTGACAAATCTCGTGTGCCTGGAATTACACCAGCACCCTTACCTTTTGAAACCGAAACACGGTTATTCTCACATTACTGCTTGGCGGTAGAAATAGGTAAGGCAATATTTTCCAGAACGAACTTCACAAGATGTTCTATTGCTACAGTATCTTTATTAGATTGCTATATATTTCAATGTATATGTTTTTTTGGTAAAGAAAAACCTGTACCTACGTCAAAGAAGGTTCACAACTCTCGGAAAACGCTTACAGTCCCCCACCCACATTAGTCCAGCGTGGCGGACTATAGCCGAAAATCGAAAGATACTTCGATAGTCCTAGCAAACGTTGCGATTACGACAAACATGTGTTTTATGAGTGATAGAATCTAGCAGCTGCTCTTTATAAATTCTGTTTCGTCTGTGTCGGAAGTAGTGTCACCTTGCCTATTTCTGCCGCCAAGTAGTAATGTAAATATTACTGCGTTCCGGTTTTGAAGGATAAGGGTGCCGGTGAAATTACAGGCATATAAGACTTGTCGACGTCTCAGGGTGACAAGCGCAATGGCAGTGTCCCTCAGATCTTTTCGATTTAAAGCTCTTAATGGCACTACAATTGTTATAGACAGGCGTGTCGCTTAGCAGCTGGTTCACGACTTCTTGATCCCGTCACTTGGTAACATAAAAAAATAAAAGAAATGTAACACAGGAACATGGGACTTGTCAACTTGTGTCTCAGTGTGACGGGCGTGTGGAAGATCTAAGGGTCCTTAGATCTTTGCGATTTAATGCTTTCAGTGGCACTGCAACTGTCATGGACAGGCGTGCCTGATGGTAAGTCCGTCAGGCACAGGACTTGACCCGTCACTTATTATTATTATTTGCAGGAGAGAGTTTTCTGCTTAAATTAAAATTTTTCCCGTACTGATACGGTTTATTTCGCTGGGTCGAGAGACACTGGCTTTGTTTCAGAATTTATTATTACAAATGAATTTGAAACATGTATACCGTATATTATACATGTTCTATTTAGTGCAGTTGATATATAAAAAAACAATCATTGGTATATCGACTCATCCGAAGAACAGAGTCCGATATGATTATATAGCGAAAAGAGAATAAGTACGTTACGAGTACAATTTCGTTATTCAAACTAGGTCCTATGTAAAGGTATTTTGAGAATTTATATGTCTTACTCCGTTTCGGAAATATAAAATGGAACAAAGGTCGATCTGACATCCACAGCGAAGAAGAACGAACGAAATGTACATGTCCTGAGAAAATGTAGTCTTGCACATAGATCTTTGTTCTACGGATGTGTCGATATGTAAGGTATCCATTGAATACAGCGGTTTTCTTGTAAAAATTTCGAGGTAAAAACTTTTGACTATTGTGAAAATTTTTAGGAACCGTGTTTTCACACCATGTGGTAAACAGTGAATATCTTCGGTTGTACTGTATATTTTTTCCAAAGTGCCATTTGAGGTTGTATCGACTTTTAAATAGGAGTGCTATGAGCATTCATTTGGTTCACATCATTGACTTACAAATAAATGGACGACGGGTCTAATACAAAAACCACGAAAAAAATGTCCTAAGTCAACCTATTTAAACGTAGTGACATGTCAAGGAATATGAAAAAGCTAAAACGTTGAAACTGTACTGTCTAATTTTGCTTGCTTCGCTGTCATTCGAACAAACGAAGACTAGAGCGTGAATGATGCTCTGTATACGATTTTAACGCCCTATAAGTTCGGACACTTTTTAGCGCGGACCCGACGTCCATATAATTGTAAGTCAATGAGTATGTATTACATTTTTGACGTATGATTTATTATACAGGTATGATTTGTTCATCATTTACAATATTTGTTTTAAATATTATCATAGACAGATACAACCTAAACGATCGAGTATCCCTTTTGTTACTACCATGAAATGTCGTCCTAGTAGTGGTTTTTTATTATACTTTTCAAACTTAGTAAATGGCAAATTTTGATCATCATCCTGAATCTTATTATAGACAGGTTCTCTTTTAAATATACTTTACTACAAGATACTTTTTGTAACACAATAAGTATATACTCAAATTTAGATCAATTTAAAAACCCTTATAAATCATCATATAAAAAAAACGTAAAATAGCGAAAGCTACGAGCTACATACATCCCCTTTCATTGGTTGCAACAAAAGACTGAAAACTGCTTGAAAAGCTTCAAAAATATACAAAAGGTCAGGACAGCTTTGATATGTGTGACAGGGATAGATATATACGAGTTGTAACGGGAGAGACAGAGATGGGCAGCTGAAAATCAATTTATTAGGCAGTGACGTCACGAGTCACGCATGCGTTGTGACGACTTTCCCGGGTAAGGGTTACCGGTGGAGGAAAAGATTCCCAATTTTAAGGTGCACACTTTCATAAAAAAAAATGGTTTTCTTTTTTAACCGACTTCAAAAAGGAGGTGGTTCTCAATTCGTTTGTGTGAAGATTCTTTTTTCCCATGTGATCCCATTCAACTTTGAAGAAAACATTCAACCTCTAAGGGTAGTAAGTTATATATTATTTTTTGGATTTCTTCCACTTTCTTTAACCAATTTCAATAAAACTTGGCAAATAGAAGTTTCCATCAATTTTTGAAGTGAAAAAGCGAAGTTAGGTTCTTGAAAATTTAATAAAATTCAAATGACAAAATATGAATTCTTACTCGTTGTAAATAATGAGACAGAAATTTTGATTTATTGTTTTTTTTTGTTCTAAGGAATATATTCGTCTATAATTCGGGGTCACTCAGAATTTCTGTGACAAGCAAACAGCATACAGTTTAAATGTACTACGAAAAAACAATAAAGTTTTTTCCAAGTAAACAAAAACTAGAACAAGAAAGCATTTATATAATATTGTAATAAGTAACTGACCTCGAAAGTTTGTGAAATTATATCTATTTGCCAAGTTTTGTTGAAATCCAGTAAACTGGATTCATCCCCTAATTTGCTACCCTTTGAGGTGGAATATTTTCTGCAAATTAGAATGAGACCTTTACCGAAGTATCCTCTTTCCAATAAAGAATCATGGAAATCACTTCACAAATGTCGTAACATACACACGAAACAACTCGAATTGAGAACCTCCTCCTTTTTTGAAGTCGGTTAAAAATGATTTCTCATTTTCTGTAATCTAAACATTTTGTATTCGTATCGAATCATTTTATAAACGAATAATATTAATTTAAAAGATCGAAAAGAAAAAGAAAGCATTACGAAATTACACCTCGATAACAAAAAATGCGATCAATCAAAACACAATCCCTGATATAACATTAATGCCGAGTTCTGATGTTGCTTCTGGCAACCCAGACCATCTGGGCGGTCTCCCGAAATAGAGCGTGTGGGGGGGCGTCTCTCAGTTCCCGCGGCGCCGCCGCCGCGCCAACACGCAGCATGGCGTCCGTCGCCGCGTGGCTGCCCTTTGCCCGCGCCGCCGCCATCGGCTGGGTACCGATCGCTACTCACCCGCTACCACCCCCACCAGTCCCAAAAGACCGCCGTCGAGCAGAAGACGAGAAACTTCTCATAAACGTATCAGGCCGTCGCTTCGAGACCTGGCGAAACACACTCGAGAAATACCCCGACTCCCTCCTCGGATCAACCGAACGAGAGTTCTTCTACGATGAGGACAGTCATGAGTACTTCTTCGACCGGGATCCAGACATTTTCAGACACATACTCAATTACTACAGAACTGGCAAGCTTCATTACCCAAAACACGAATGCTTGACGGGTTACGATGAGGAGCTTGCGTTCTTTGGTATTCTACCTGACGTTATCGGGGACTGTTGTTATGAGGACTATAGGGATAGAAAGCGGGAGAATGCGGAAAGGCTTATGGACGATAAGCTTAGTGAAGCTGGGGACCAGAGTCTGCCCCAGCTAACGGACTTGAGGCAGAAGATGTGGAGGGCGTTCGAGAACCCTCACACTTCTACTGCTGCGTTAGTATTCTACTATGTAACTGGATTTTTCATCGCAGTTTCTGTGATGGCTAATGTGGTTGAGACAGTCCCATGTGGACATCGTCCCGGGCGAGCTGGTACGCTGCCCTGCGGAGAGAGATACAAGATAGTTTTCTTTTGTCTGGACACAGCTTGCGTGATGATTTTCACGGCAGAGTACTTGCTTCGGCTTTTTGCTGCTCCGGATCGTTGCAAATTCGTGCGGTCAGTCATGTCGATCATTGACGTGGTGGCTATCTTGCCATACTACATTGGTCTGGGGATCACAGACAACGATGATGTGTCAGGCGCGTTCGTCACTCTTCGAGTGTTCAGGGTGTTCCGAATCTTTAAATTTTCGCGGCACTCGCAAGGGTTGCGAATTCTCGGATATACCCTAAAGTCTTGTGCGAGCGAGCTTGGATTTCTGGTCTTCTCACTGGCCATGGCGATCATCATTTTTGCTACTGTCATGTTCTACGCCGAGAAGAACGAGCAAGATACTAACTTCACATCCATTCCTGCTGCCTTCTGGTACACCATTGTCACCATGACCACATTGGGGTGAGTGGTAGTTTATTTAAAGATTACTATTTGTAAATATTAAATATCATAACAGGCGAATATTTCTCATAGTTGGTATAATTGTTGAGTCTAAACAGGTGTACAGTTGACAGTATGCGTGTGAAATTCTATCGATTGAGTTTTATTTTGTGGTGAGAACTTTATGTCCTTCATAGCGTGTCAATAAAGAGCGTTGCTACAAGCTTGACGGAGTTTTGTAAAATTGTAATGTATTGGTAGTTCGAGAAGAGAAAAATCCATAAAACCCAGCGCGGGACAACTGAACTGACACCTGTCGCCGCCATTAAAAATTAACGCGGGAAAATAACTGTCATAGCGGTGCAGATTTCCCTCCATAAAAGGTTTCGTGATTTTAACCTTTGAAATATTAATGTGGGTACACGGTTTTAATTTAATTTTCATTTGTGTAGCCATTGAGAGCGCCATTTTGACAAAATGACCGTTGGTTTCCGAGTGGAAATTGACGTGGCTATCGGTGTTGCGTTTTTTATAAAGGAAACTTTTGTTTGTGATCATGCGATAAAGCTGGACTATTTCCAGTTTTGTGATGATTGCGTTTTAGATACGTGAATACCGATTACGCTTGTAATAATAATATTAGTTTTGAAATCAGTGATAAAGTGTTTTTCGGGGTGTAATTGACATTATTTTTAAAAAGATTAGCTTCGCTATCTGCAAAAGGGTGCACTACTTCTGAGTAACATATACACTTCATTTGACGTTTGTCATAGGGATGAGGTAAAGTCGGTAGGTTTTTAGTGTATTTGATTAGTTTTTATTTTTTTGACGTATTGTGTGAACTGTTTTTTATATTATTGAAGGCTCAAAACACAACTATAATTCAAATGCAATTTCAATTTATATTTTAGTATATTTCTAAAAACATTTGTCATTTCATTTGTAGGTTTCAGAAAAGTAATAACACTGACATGTCAATTCATTGTCTATGATTACAATTCATGCTTTGTCAAAGTCAAAGTCAATTAATCATTTATTCCATAGGTAAAACTTGAAAAAGTAATTTTTTAAGGTACTGCTTATTAACTACTCTGACCTTCCTAAGAAGAACGAGCAAGAAACTCTAGGGATTGCTCTTTTCAAATAAACTTAAATGCTATGGAATATACTTTGAATCATAATTGTGTGGAATCTAGACTCATGTTCTCTCTCCATAAATCTTTATCTAACACGTAGTCTACAATTTTGTAATGTGACTTTTCAATTAAAATAGTTTTAATGTAAGTTTTAAACTTAGGAATAGGTAATCTTATTGTAAAAACGTGTACAGTGCCAAATGAAAGAATCGTTTACTTTAGTTAGAGAAAATCGTGGTACCCTGCGTTTGGACTTACTTCTTTACGAATTTTTCCATTACATTATCGAAAATTTTTTATCGATATATCTTATCTCTAGCAAATGCAGTGTAGTGATCTTGCATGTTGTCGTAAAAAATTAATGTATTTTTGAAAAAAAAAAAAGATCTCTCATCTCTCGCAAATTAACATTGATTTCTTATTTTAATTTAATGTATTTCCTACCCTATTCATTCAAAAGCGAGGCTTTTAAAAATAGTTTACAAAATACGTAAATTAGTGCACGTTGTTAAGAGGTTATATTATGTAGATTTTTTATGAACTGCCACAAGGATCATCCTAGATTATTTTTAGTATATTTAATGAAATTTTACATGGTTTTAGGACAAGAAATTAACTGTATTTTTATCTCAACTGACCTTACAAACATCTGTGGCCGTACCATGGCAGTACATCACATGCAATGTGTTATAAGCCTCCCCGTGACATATTTATTTCAGTTGGTAAAGCTATGTTGCTATTATTAAAATTTATTTATTTTTATTGCGAATTTGCGAATTCTGATTTGGTAAAATACCGCGCTAGAGTCATTCGTTCTTTTATTTTATTTAGTAATGAACTACTGTTACACATTTTGAAGAACAAGGACAACGATATGAAATGGTGTTTATATATATAGCTATCTTTGTCGTTTAATTATCGCCGCGAAAAGGACGTGAAGTCGTTATCCGATACCTCAACTGCATGAAGTTGATAACGTCTTCACGCATTAACTGCATGCAGTCGAAACCGACTTCATGCAGCCGAGATCGACTGCATGCAGTTAATGAGCGAAGCAAATCTGTTAGCAGCCTAAGACTTGATTTGACGATAAACTGAACTCTATTGTTTACTAGTAAATTTTCAAGGCCACATATCGACCCTAAAATCTTAATTAACCCTTCCCAACGCTGTAACTTAACTTACTAACCTAACAGTCCCCAAAGTTAGGTTAAAAAGCGCCAAACTTACCTGAGCTTAATGGAGGCTATAATTGATTACGTCACTCTCTCTGAAAGCTTTCATGTGTGCTTCTTGCTGTTTTGACAGGTTTTGTGGTGATTTCTATAGAGTTAATGTGCGTAGAGCTTTTGAATTTTCCCATTAATAAAAACAATTTTTAGGCCGACTGAGGTAGGTAGACTGAAAAGAGATAGACGCCTTCGAAAAGCGCTGTTGGAGGGCTAATAAATCTATCCTACAACAACTTAGATAAAGACCAGACTCTCAACAATATGGTACCAGAGCATCACGGAGCTCCGGTTTTGAAGAGTAAGAGCGTTTGTGCACTGCATCCGATCTATTCTCGATTTCCGTCCGAAACAATTACTGTCAAATAAGTAATATTCGACAAAATTAAAAGACAAGTATCCAGTATGAAGCTTCATTCGCATCACGCGTCTTTTTATTTGGTCAAGTATTGCTTAATTGGCAGTAATTGTTTCGGACGGATGTGTGACGGAGAAATCCGAGAAATGACGGACCGAAGTAGTTGTAGTACTATTTTAGAGATTAGAATTAGTCCTAATCCCTTCTTATGAAGTTCGAACTAAATCCGAATTCCGTCTTCCGAAGTCGAGAATACCTTGAATTCGGAGCATTATTTTCGCGGATCGAAGTTACCGATACGAGTCCGAACGCGGAGGTGACGGCTGCGCGGAGGGATGAAGAGAAACAGCAAGTATCGATAAATATATACAATGAAATTAAAAGTGGAAATTCAGTAATAAGTAAATTTCTTGCTGTTTTAATTAATTTGATCGTAATTATTCTAAATGAAAAATGAAAATGCTTTATTTGCAAGCAAACACGGTATTGGTGATGGTAAAAGTGTATAATACTTGGTCTCTTAAAATGACATGACATGCAAAATTTTACAATATTATGTCATAGCAGTCGTTTTAATAAACACATACAATATTAATCTATTATCTAGCTTTATTATTTATTATTTATGTCAATTTTTGTCATTATATGTATATGTAAATTATGACATAAAGTTTAATTCACAATATTTAATGTAGTCTGAGTTAAATAAATTTATAAATGAGAAATACATCTAGTCTGTAAAAACAATAATCTAATAGTATTTAATACATATAATTTTTAAATTCTCTTTGAGGCATTTGGTTTACATAGTCAGATATAAAATTAAACAATTTTATAGACATCTTATAACTATTTCTCATTATAAAATGTTTCCCTAAAAAGCCAGGACGACAGGAGAAGGTGTACCCAAAACTTTTTATTTCTCCTGCGTCTTCGTATGTACTAACAATGCTAAAAGTGGACGAAGATTAAAAGGACAAACAGTTAGTAGTATTCTCTAGGTGTACAAGTGATATTTGTACTTTCCCAGACTCATATCCAAGCGCACACGCGATATCCGAAGTAGGTCCGAATTTTCTCGGATTCGGAACGGATATAAATAGGACGCGGTGTGCCATCGCTCTAAGTGATAATGAAATTACTTGGGACTTGCCAAGTTTATGTCTCAGGGGCTACCCTCGGACGGTTCTGGGGGTCTACTCTCGATCTCCGTCCAACATCCGTCCGAAACAATTACTGCCAAATAAGCAATACTTGACCAAATGAAAAGACGCGCAATGCGAATGAAGCTTCATACTGGATACTTGTCTTTTAATTTTGACAAATATTACTTATTTGACAGTAATTGTTTCGGACGGATGTCGGATGGAGATCGAGAGTAGCCCCCATGGTTAGGCGCGTCACTAACCACCAGTCACGTGACTTGTTAGTACAGTCACAAATATCATAAATAAACCTAACGATTTTCGGTTGCTTCAATCATAATTCCTGCTGCCGATTTCGACAGGTCAAAGTTGAGAAATGTGAGTGAAGGTGTGTTTTTTATGATACCTGGTGGTAAGCGCCTGTGCATAACAGTTGCAGTGCCACTCAGAGATTTAAACCACAATAATCTGAGGGGTACTGCCACTGCGCCCGTCCAACCGAGACGATGACAAGTCCCATGTGCCTGTAATTTCACCAGCACCCTTTCAAACCAGTAAGCAGTAACTTCCCTGAACGAACTCTTTTACAAGGAGATCGACTGCTGCTGAATCTAAGGGCATTAAAGCGCTTATAATCCACGTAAAAACCTGGAAAACTTTATCAAGGTCGTTTTCACAGGGACCCGTAAAAAGTAGTCACACAATCGTTGATCAGCACGTAATGAAAATAAATTTTATAATCAGATCCATTCCAAGATAAAATTCACGCACAAGTAGAGCTTTACATATATTTTATTTCATAAATTGTAAAAAGAACTGGGTCAAAGCTTAATGCGAACACCGAAAATGGCATCGATTCGTGTTCTCATCGTGTCACATTCGCCGCTCGAGTAAAATATCGCATATAAAATCACAGCGCACACATTTTCCCTGACAGAATAATGAGAGCACGTTATTGCGTTCACTTGACAAAAATTTCAAATGCTTTATGCTGTTTTTGAATAAGCTAAATTGACTTGTTTACATATTTACTATGCTCTATAAAAAGTTGCTTTAGATCAACATCGTATAGGTTGCTCCAATCCAAAAGTAAGTTACAATGGCGGGCTTTTGAAGTTACTAGTACAGTTTTTACAAATATTAATTTTATTTT